CGCGATAGCTGGGAACACATATACCACTATATAGTGGACATCAAAGAACCTCTTGTATCACCAGTACAGGAAACAAACTGCTGGATCTCAAGAAAAAGCCTTACAATATTAAGTCCACAACTAGGATAATCTATATACAGTATATCACTAACATATAAGCGTATGGAACGAAGCTGACACATTCACCACCAACCAGCTTATATGGCAATGGAGCTGACATCATTTTTCAACTTGCCAAGTGGATGTTATAATATAAGAATCTTGTCCAAGCTGATACAGTTTGCTAACTTGCGTTGATGGACAGCTGTTCGCTTGGCCATGGGCTGCTCCTTTTCACCTTGCAAGTGGATTGTTTATTGCCAGGTGATAAAGCTTTTTGGCAAGTGTCAAGAGTGCTGATCTCTGAGTCATTCTCAATACCCATCTTTGAAAGTCTTCCGCTTTTTTTTTGACCAAGATTGTTTTATGCAGGAGTTTAAGATTGGAGTAGAAACGTGTTGCTCCATGTGTTGTGCAGATATCTACTCCGGGATACTGTATCACGCAAGGCTACGCTAAGAGACATCCTGCAGCATAATCTTTTGTTGGAGGATGGTTGTCACCACAACTCAGGTCGATGTTAAACATTTGCCGGCTCCGTCTTGTTCGTTGCATCCTTCTTTTCCGCATTTAAGCAGGATAGACAATGATGGAACGCGACATGAGGCGGTGGGTCAGTCCAGCAGTCGTACCTGCACTGGGTTCATTGCTCATCGGGTGTTAAGAGGACATCACGGGCGGTCTTCTGGAGCGGACCAATGAACGTAATCAATGAGATGCCATAGTTTGGAGCGAGGAATGCACCATCAATGATGTTTTGAACTTGGTTGTTTTTGACGAAGAAGGTGTGTTGGCGTGATGACCAGGGTTGTGCTTCTGAGCACTTGGTTAGCAGTAGTATGCCATTGGAGTTTGGTTTCCAACCCCTTCTCTCCCCAGCGTGCCTCTCCATAGGTGGGTGGTTTCGTCCACTCCTTGGCATTGGAAATCTCCAAGCAGGATTAACTTGTCCTTCCTTGGGGACTTCAGAATAGAGTTTTGTCCCCAGTCAGCATAGAAGGCCTCCTTTACTTCATCCTGTGCATCAAGCGTATTGGGGCGTAGGCACTAATAACGGTGGCCATCCTGACTGCTGGCAAGCATCAGAACGTATGGTCATTAGGCGGCTCGTTTTGGATGCGCCACAGGGAGTTCATGGAGGTGGTTGAGTGAGGCAGTTCTTGATAGCAAAAAGCTCACAACTGGGTTTGTGGGCTCATTTGACAGGGCTTTCCTTTGCTCAAAAGAAAGTATATCCGCCTTTTTCCTTCCTTCAGCTGCCCTTCATCCAGCCAGTCCGGGTCTCGGAGAGCGCTGCAATGTCGATCTGGAACTTCCCTAGCTCTCTGGAGATGATGGCAGTTCGCCTTTCAGGTCGATCGCTGGCTTGGTTGTCCGTGAGGGTCCGCACATTCCAGGCTCCAATACGTAAATGTTTTTCTTTTATTTTTTGTTTCTGACCGCGTAATGGTGATCCCTCTGGATGCGGTATTCCAGACAGGATTTTGACACACACACACACACACACACACACCCACACACACACACACACACACACACACACACACACACACACACCCTTTGGATAAGTCTTCCCCTTATCCACATTGTAAAATTGTTGTCTTCTTTAGAGTTATTAGTAATTCAAGATGAATTATTAAATTAAATATGCTACATAAGATAAAATAAATAAAATATCTTTGATTTGATAATTTTGTTCACAACATTAGACCTGTCCTCTAATCTCTACTAGAATAGCGTTTATTGTTTCTAATGATAACGTCACCTTAAAGAGCAACTCGGACTCGTTCTCCAGTGTTGCCAACTTGGCGACTTTGTCGTTAAATTCGGCGGCTTTCCAAACCCTCCGGCTACTTATTTTGGTCAAAAGCGACTAACGACTAATCTAACGACTTGTAATGGGGTTATTAGGGACTTTTCTGGTGTTTGGAGACTCACATATTGTTCAGCAGTTAACGAGCCACGGGTGCTGCCGTGAGCCCCTCTGCCCCTGCTCTGCCCTCCCATAGTACTCACAGGCGCTAGTTGCCTCCCGCAGCAGCTCAGCTGCAGTCAGAGCAGAGAGGAGATAGCCACACCCTCCCGCGTCGAGACTGTAAATGAATTGCGCATGCGCCAAGCCGTCCTGGTTTTGAGCGGGATTTAAATGTAAAATGTAAATGTTTCTACTATAATAAATAACTGCCTTTGCTTTGCATTGACTCACACACAGCCTCAGTCACTTAGTCACCTCGTCCACTGTGTGTGTGCCTCTCTGTGACAAGCTAAACATTCACGTAGGCCATCATGTCACAGTCTAAACTGTAATCACAAAAGTACAGAAAGGAGTGGGAATCAAACCTGAGTTTAAAGGATGGTTGAAGCCATTTATTGGAGATGACACACGGGCATACTGCCTTTATTGTAAGGGAGATTTCTACTAAAAGCTATTTCTCCTTTCTACTTTTTCTAATAGAGGCATTTCTGATCTACTGTCGTCTGGATTTAATCTGGTTTCAAATTTTGATCCTCCTTGAAGGGGGTGGAACGTTTTTTTACCGCCATTACATGATATGCAAATTAGGCAATGACGTCATTTAGGGACTTCTGGCGACTTTTCGGACAGCCAATAGCTACTTTCCTTACTATGGAGTTGGCAACACTGACAGGGACTCTGCCTGCTCAACTCATCCGGGAAACATAACTTGAACTCTGCCGTGTTTGTTGTGCTGGTGCCTTGTGGACTACTCTTCATGCTTATATCGGACTATTGTGACTCGCTTTGCGGTTAAAACAGACGGTGCATTAATGCGGTTTTGCGGTAAGTGAAATTTGAGTACTTTATTAATGTGTTGCTGATGTTTTTAGTCAGCTAACGTTAATGAATGTTAAGGCTTGGGTTAGCATGTAAGCAAGTGGTAGCTATATCTGTGCTAACGATGCTAATCGTAGCCTCCAAGTTAAAACGTAATAGAGAAGTGTTAAGCATTAAGTGGGATAATAATGTAGAACAAAAGGCTTCTATTTGAGGTTGGTAAAATTAGGTCATACTTGTAAGTTAGAGAGATATTTTATTAGGGAGGTCACTTTATGCATTGCTAAGGTTAATTTAAATTCGCTATGCTTGATTATGTAGACAAGCTAACGTCAAAGTAGTGTTGAAGAGTAGCGTAGTGTATGTGAAATCAACCTCACAATAAGATGTGTGTATATTAAAAATAATAATGTCATATTAACTAAGATGATGTTATGATTTATTTTGTGTGTGGACGCTTTGGACATACCTGGAGAAGGAAGAAATGGGTCTTCGGAATGATGGGAGTTAAAGACAAATGCGAAGACTAGTGTTGAAACTAGTGGAGAAACGATCAAGATGCCCCCTTGTCCCTCTGATTAGAAGGCATGTTAAGTCAGGAAGTAGCATCATGAGTGATGAGTGGAGGGCATACAGGAGAGTGCTGAGTAACATGGGGTACAACCACTGCACCATAAACAACAGCAGGTGGTTTGTGAATCCCCAGACGGCAGTCATATCCAACATATAGAAAGAGCTTGGTCGACCGTCAAAGGACATGTCCGTAGACTGAGAGGAAACCTTACAGAGAGTTTGTTGGAGGAACACCTCAAGGTTCTTGAATGGTCATCTTGGCTTGGCTCTGCTCACTCTGATGGACTGCTTGGTTGCTTGTTCAAGCATATACACAAAGCCTTTCCAGTCTGAGTACCATTATGCCTTACCAAGTCTTTCATTTATGTCTGAGAAAAGTTTTTATGTTTAAATA